CCCTCTCCATCTTCCTCTCCCTCTCCTTCTCCCTGTCCTTCCCACTCTGCCTCCCTCCATCCCCCAACCCCTTCTCCCTCTCTCCCTCGACTACCCCACAATTAAACCTCAGAATGAAGACTCACCGAACCACGTCGCCTGCACAGTGGGTAAAGGCGTACCCATTTCCTCCCAGCGGGGCAGAGCAACAGCAGGGTATGCGTGGATCATGCCCACTGATACCCCTGCCAGACACGCCACTATTGCCATTGTCACCTATTTAAAGATTAAGTCGTTAGAGTTGCTGGATTAACAAGTTTTACTGTTATTTATTCATTTATTCAATTCATATGACTAGTTTTGAGGGAATTAATACGTTCATGAGTCATGTAGGGAAAAATGCATAACATTTCTCTGGCTTTGATGTATAAAACTGTTAAAATGCTCAGGCGTGCGAAGTCTCCTACAGTACTTAAGTATGAAACACTTACCCTTCAATATAAAGTCCATCTTTCTAAAAATCCTCCCTCATAGCGATGCAGAAATTCACGACTAAAGTTACTAAGACCGATCGAAAATGATAGATAGTTAAATAAATAAAAATAATTGCAAGGAATTTACGTGGTAAAGGTATCGTAAAACCAATTTTCTGTTCGATCTGTTCTGTTCTTGTGTTTATTATAGAATAATAAAAATAGTCACCCGGTTTCAGATTGTGTGTCAGCAAAGAGCTTCTCAGTTATATGGCTTCTTCCAGTTTTATTCGATTGATATGTAGATAAAACAGCTAACATATTAAACTCATTTCAATGCCCGTGGAGACCTTGAAATAATAGATTTAACGATATATAGCACTTTTTTATATAGCATGTCGAACTTATGATCGCAACGTAGCTTAGTATTTTTATCTTTTTATTTACACATTTACGGAAAAGGTTAAACCCAGGAAAGCGAATAAAACAAATAAAACGGTAAATAGGCGTAGAAGGAAATAGATAAATGCCCGACTAGCTACTAACATAAAAAGATAAAAAAAACGACCCTAGCGCTCAAACGAGAAATGCAAACAACCACTTACCTCGACCAAGCGAACGGGTGCGAGCTCCTCCGTCCTGTCTACTCATCACTATTCACATGCATTCTCTCATGGCTGGTGAGATTAAAGGTGACTTAGCGTGTCAGTTCCATCTCTGGCGAGGGTCAAAGAGCTTCAAGACTGCCCTTGCTCGCCATCTACAGGAGGTGAGAGTGAGTGGCAAAGGTACACGAAGATTGGTGTTACCTGTCGTATATAAGGGCCGAGGTAGGGACTGTAGCAGCATCCTGATTGGTGGTCAGTGTAAGGAGCCTGAGTCGGAGAACAGGTGCTTTCGGCGGATTCTCCGAGGTCAGCCTGGAAGAGAAGCACAGACGTGAAGTAGGGATTGTTGGTGTAATTTCCCCCTCTGGTCGGTGTTTTAGATATCTTTATGGATCTTGATGAAAGAAGCTCAGCGGTGTGATTGGAGGCACACGGGTGATTCTACGGATTTACTTGTTCGCCTTCCTTAACGCCCTTCTGCGTGGTAGGGGATCATGAGGTCATTTTATAGTTCATGTGTATTCGTGCATCTTCTGGGTGTTTGATTGGAATTAATGATTTTATCTCTAATGCAGATTTTAGCAATTGCTTACGCATATCTTTTCATATTCTAAAGCTTTGATATCTGTAATTAGGTAATGAAGAGCAGTTTATTATTATCGTCAATTAGTATAATTATTACTTTTTTATCGACGATCTATGTCGATATTCCGCACATAATGCATTAACAAAATAACGAGGGGGGTTTATAAGCCTTCCGGTGGTGTTGACATGGTTCAGAATCAGCTCTTTTTAGTATTTTTACGGTTTCCTAGCCAAAAAATAAAGAACTGAAAGTGTGGATTGCAAAGTCAGACTCAAAGGTCTTCCCACTAGACCCAACCATCTCGGAACTCGATACATGAATCGATTTCCGAGACAAAGAGCGAAACGCGCTTCGAACAGATCTCGAAAAGCGAAAGTTGACTGCACATTCCAACTCGCTCAGTCAACACGTGACGATTTCAGTTCAAACACGAGACCACCGTACAACGTGGCCGCTTGACTGGACACTGACCCTCGCCCGGCGCCCACCCAATGCCCGTCACACCCCCCGGCCCTAACGACCTCATCCTGCCAGGTGAGTTACCCACACCGCCATCGCCTTCACAACCAGGAAGACACCTGTCCTCCTCTCCCGCCAGCCTCCTCCCGCGCCCGCCGACCACATCCTCTCTCGGCCGCTCCTCCTTTCACCCTCCCTCCTTCTGCGTCCGCCCCGCCGCCTGCGTATCCTCTGTGGCCCCTCGTCCCTATACAGCTAATTAGGTGTCCTTGGGCGTGGGGATGGACGCCGGCTATTGAGGGCTTCGGCTCGTCATGGCGCTCGCTAGGGGGAGGGCAGGCTGCTTCCTTTGAAGTTAATTGCGGTCGTGCATTGCGATTTTTTTTTTAACCGTGCCAGTGACCCATCTTGAAATGAATATTACAAAGGCGCATCTACTATTTCTCGGAAAAACGCATTTGTGATTTATGGAATTGAGTCTCAGCGCCCAAGAATTTCCTAGTGCGTCCGTTTCCCCACAGTTTCATAATTCGAAGACGTGAAGGATCCCGCGTCACACCCGAGGCTCAGTGATCATCCAAACCCAGTGTGACTACAGGAGCGGGCAGCGGCCTGTCGTAAAACCTCAAATAGCGATATCCTCCGAGTCAGGAGCCGCGCCCTTCCTTATCACCGGCAGTTGTGTGACTGGAGGCTGCGGGTAGCGACCTGCCTGTTAACCCTTGGGGACAACCGAACACACGTAAGTGTATGAGTACGTATGCACGCACATATGCACAGGCATGCAGTCGTATCTATACATACGTACAGAGTGCTAATGCCTTTGTTATCTAATAAGTATAAAGTGTTTCTGTGCTGGATGTGGCTAATGGTAAATAAATGAATATATAAACAAATACTAAGGTTGCCCATATCATTTGACTCTGACGATATTTTTCTCTAGTCATTCAAGTGCTAAGACATCTGCAAATGACAAGAATACCTCTTGGTATATGCTTTTATATGGTATTGTTTTGTTAAGCATTTTCCATTGAAAATAAAGAATCCAAAATATTCCTTCTCTCCCTTCCTTCCTCCCTCCTTCCCTCTCTTCCTCTCTCCCTTCCTCCCGCCTCCCTCCCTCTTTAATGACCTCCCCCTTTATTCACCCTCGACTTCCCACGCTACCCAGCACTCTACTGGTTATCGCCGGTGCCAACCAACCTGCGCCCAGAACGGAACGACATTGATGAAGTGCCCCCAGAGCATGCGATTCCGACCCTTACCGCCGATCACTTTATAACTACATGTAATCTTATATCCTGATTGTACTCAGTATGATTGTTAGAAAATCCCTATTCTGAAGCACTATGCAATAATCATTATTACCGATACTGTAGTTATCAAATGTTTTCGATTTAATAGTGCTAACATATCCAGTGTCCCCGTCCAAGCATGTGACCACAGGAACCTAACGGTGCCATAAAAACAGAAAGTCTGCTCTGACATTCCCACTAAAGACTAACGTTCTCCATATTCTTAGGTTTTGTAAAAAATCCATACTATATCGTACAAAAACGACCTACGATCACCTTAAAAACTCGGAGCCGAAGTCACTCTGCCTTCAGCATCAGCTCGCGGGCATGTCCTCTGTACTCTAGCTACCATACTCCCGTGCTAATAAAGACTAGAGCTGCAACAACTTTAACTCGACTCCCATGATGGTACTCTTTATTTCTCTCCCCCACATTATCCCACTGGTGGCGACAAGTGGGATAAAAATCACACATCATTACATTGGTGACACCGCACTGGGATAGCCTCCCCCCCCTGTCATTATATTGTTGACAGCGCATTGGGATAGCCTCCCCCCCTGTCATTACCTTGTTGACAGCGCCCTGGGATAACGTACCACATGAAGCCCCCTAAAGATAACGCACGAAGCCCTCTGAAGGTAATCTATCGACTCCTGCAAGCGGAGACACCTTCGCCGACTTCTGTCACTCCAAGATTTCATCTCACAATGCATCTGCGGACTTCTGACATCAAGCACGAAGCCAGTCTTCTCTGTCGAGCTGACATCGTTCCTCCGTCAGGGCATAGTACCCTAACAACTATCGCAGTCTTCAATACTTGCTGCAGTTGCCTGACGCCTGCAACATCGATCAAGGTGAGTTCCTTTATCCTCGCCGTTCTCATTTGTTTTGGAAATCCCCTTGAAGTGGAGTGTCTGGTTTTCCCTCGCACGCGCGAACACCTGTGTTCCTCCCCTCATAGAAAACGAGATCTCCCCTCAACTGACATCTTTCTCCCGATCACTCAGTGTCTCCCCTCGCCCCACTCATGTCCTGCGGTTTGCCTAACTTTTCTCTTTGATACTCTCATTTTTCTGTAGTTTTGTCTACCTATGAGTACTACATTTGTTCTCATTTTAATCTATGTCGTTATGATTTCTGAATCTACAAGATGCTGAATTCAAGTTCATTTATTATGAAGTATTTCGCAGGAAAATCTTTCCTGCATTTGTTTGCATATGTCTTCAGGAATTATCTTAATAGGAAAATTCATTCCTATATCCTAGCATGCAACTACTCTTAACCAGTTTCCCAACAATCCTGCATTTTCGCATGCAACTATCATTTCCCTATCCACCTACATTTTTATAGGAACATCTGTTGTCCTCTGCTCTTGCACATGAATCCTACATACTATTTTCGGTGGAGAATCATTTCTACATTTTGCATGGCGCTGTAAACTCGTAATTCCTTCGAGATTTTATCCTGAAATCTCGATTGTTAATTACTGCCTTCTATCTCTCTGGTGAATGTTGCAGTTAACACTCTATTCCGATTCCTTGACACGCTGCTTCCAATCGTTTCCTAATCGTTACGAGTTGATATTGTAGTTCCCTGAGAT